TCAGCAGCAGCCCCCTCCGGCCTGGTGCCCCCCCTGGCTACTGGACAGCGTGGAGTTGGTGGTGGGGTGCTGGGGGCCGATCTTTATGCCGTTGGCCTGTGGGGACAGAGCAGAGACACAGGGTTAGGGGGGGGGGTGCCTTCAGGGTCTGCCCGGAAAAGCCAGCGTTAGGTCAGAGGCTAACAAACCGGACCCCACTCAGGGTCTGGAGTCAGTCCTGGACCCACTGGAGACCCAGAAACTCCATCTGGAGAAGGACAGACTCCTTAGTGGAGCTTTAAATCCAGACTAAGTATGATAGAGCTGTGGTGGTGCCTTCAGGGTCGGCTCGGAAAATCCTGTTAGATCAGAGGCTAACGAACTGGACCCTGCTCAGGGTCTGGAATCAGTTCTGGACCCACATCAGCCAAAAAGCTCCAGCTGGGGAGGGACAGACTCTTTAGAGGAGCTTTAGATCCAGGTTAGGTATAATAGATGGTGCTGCCTTCAGGGTCGGCCCGTAAAAGCCAGCGTTAGATTAGAGGCTAACAAACTGGACCTGCTAAGACTATGGAGTCAGTTCTGGACCCACTGGAGGACCACCTGGAGAAGGACAGACTCCTTATAGGAGCTTTAGGTCCAGGTTAGCTATAATAGATGGTGGTGCCTTCAGGGTCCCCTCCTGCTCTAAGATGCGCGCTGCCCCTTTAAATCCGCTCTGAGGGGGCGGGGCCAGCCCGTTCCCATGGCGGCTGCCAGCTCCTGGGCCGGGGTTCCCCCCCCCCCCCGGCCAGCTGATGTGGTTTGGCCGGCCGCTGCTGATGACTAAAGCAGCCCCGGCTGTCTGACGTCTGACGGGCCCCGAACGCCCCACACAGATGTGGAGACTCAGCCAGTGTGTTTGTGTGTGTGTGTGGGTGTGTGTGTGTGTGTGTGTGAGGAGCCTGTAGGAAGCCAGGGATGGATGTCCAGCTCCTCCCACATCCAAGGCGGCCATTTTGATTAGGTCATGTGACTAGCAGCTTTCTGAGGTGGAAACTAAACTTTACCGTCTACACGAAATCGGAAGATAAACCATGTCCTAAGCCTAAAACTAACCCTGACCCTAATTGGACATTTTTGTATTTGGGGAATTATTTTAATGGCTACCGTCACGTCAACGAGTTTAAAAAATTTTTTTAAACGTCAGCTTGAAAAAATAGCCTGGGATCTTCCTGTTGGTGACCAAATCAAAATGGCCGCCTTGGATGTGGGCGGAGTTGAACATTCATCCTTTGGGTAAGCAGGAAAACCAAACCCAGAACAGGAGCCGTTTGGTGGGAACCCAAACTTTAAAAACTTTATTAACTCTACCAGCTGAACACAAACATGGCCGCCAGCTCACGTGCACACGCACGTGCACACGCGCGCACGTGCACGTGTCCTACTGGTGTTTTTTTTTTTTTTTTGACCAATCAATAGGGATGTTCCAGATAATGTCATAAACACAGCCCCC